GGTGTCTAGCAGGCGGAAGAAACGCGATCGGTGTTTGGAGTGGAGGAGTCCTTCGTCGAGGAGGGAGTACAGCTTGAGGTAGAACGACGGGTAGTCGAGGTTCTTCTCTGAAATTAGGTAGTAGATTCCGGACAGTGCCAGCAATGAGGTTGCGCCGCCCACGTTGTAAGAGTCTGTCAAGAAGTCGGACAAGATTTCAGGCTGTTGGAACCACGGCGCAATCTGGTGGGAAAAGTTGTGCAGGATAGACTTGCGCTGCTCCTTGGAGAGACCCGTGCGCATCGTCGCTAACCATGCTGCCTGTGCCTTTTCCTTGTATGCTTGGAGGGAGGGTATCGGGCTCTTCCCTTGCACTTGTACGTAGAAGTTCTGGATGTCGGTCTTTGATTTGGGGACTTCGGTGAGTGTGAATAGGAGGGAAAGGCTGTTCGCAGCTACGAGTTGGCGCGTCGTGATGTCGAGTTCGCTGTCAAGTACATCCCTGGGTGTGTTAGTGGTAGTCATGAGGCTTAGTATGTGTATATACTTACTTGATGGTCTGGAAGGTCTGGTATCGGATGTCGTCAAACTGCTTGAGGTACTTCTCCGCAAATTCCTCGCGGTTCAGATCGTCTAGCGGGAGACAAAGTAGCACCCGGATCAGTCTCGGTAGCGGCCCGTTCTTGATCTTGTAGTCCTTCTGTGACTTCGCCTCCTCCTTGGCCAATCGCAGAACCAGTGTCAGGGCCACAGACTGCCGAGGTGGATGTTCGCTGCCGAGGAAGTCGTCGATGAGTATGTCGGAGAGTTCTCGGTAGCGCTCCTTCAACCACGACACAATGACACCCTCTGCCTCGCTCATACCCTTGCTCTTCACCATGTCGCCTGTCACGAGTAGTCGTGAAAAGACTCGGCAGAGGGCCACGGCGGCGAGGATTGGTCCCTCATTCTCGGCGTCTGGCTGTCTCGCTCGCTGCAAAAGAGTTGCAATATTGTTGTAGTGTTTTCGCGATTCGAGGATTTGTGCTTCGAGCTGTACAATTTCCGACTGGATGTCTTCGCCGTCGTCGCTGGGGGATTTGCGCCGGCTCTTCGATTTGGATTCGCTGCGCTCTGGCCTGCTTGGGTCCCTCTTCCTCTTGACACCAGACGTGCTGGCCGACTTTGCACCCGACATGTTTTCCTGCGACTGATTTCTTGGCGTGGAGTTGAATTGCTCGCGGGCGCAAAAAAGTTGGCGATGTCGAAAAGTGAGGGCGGGCCGGGCGAAGTTCGGCTAGCGCAAGGGCATCGGCGCTTGGCTCAGAGTTCACGCAGCATCACGAAAAGCTAGCTCTCGACGACGACCAGCACCCCCAACTCCCCACGCCCATCAGACAGCCATGGCCTCACGTCTTGCAAGGAGCGCGGTCGGTGAGTAGCACCTGCCCGATGATTCTGCGATGCCATTGACCCCGTGCTCACCCCAACAGGCGCCGCCCGTCTCCGCCCATCGCTCCCTCTCCGCGCCCTGCCCTCCATCGCCGTCCAGGCCCGCTACAACTCCAACCTGCCCCAGGAGGACCCCAAGAAGAAGGCCCAGACCGTCCTCGACTCGATACCCGTCCCCGGCAACAGCCCCCTCACCAAGGCCGCCGTCCTCTCCGCCGGCGCCGGTCTCAGTGTCGCCGCTATCAGCAACGAGCTCTACGTCGTCAACGAGGAGTCCATTGTCGCCCTCTCGCTCCTGACCATCTTCTGGGCCGTTGCCAAGTACGCCGGACCTGCCTGGGGAGAGTATGCGCAACAGCAGGCCGACAAGATCTCCGGCATCTTGAACGCTGCCCGCCAGGACCACACCACCGCTGTCAAGCAGCGCATCGAGAGCGTCCAGGACCTCGGCGGTGTCATTGACATCACCAAGACCCTCTTCGAGGTTTCCAAGGTGCGACGCGACGGCAGAGGATATGCAAGGACCACACACTGACAACCCCACAGGAGACCGCCCAGCTCGAGGCCCAGGCTTTCGAGCTCGAGCAGAAGACCGCCATCGCCGCCGAGGCCAAGTCCGTCCTCGACTCGTGGGTCCGCTACGAGGGCCAGGTCAAGCAGAGGCAGCAGAAGGAGCTCGCCGAGTCCATCATCGCCAAGATTGAGAAGGAGCTCGAGAACCCCAAGACCCTCAAGCAGATCCTTGACCAGAGCGTCACTGACATTGAGAGTATGTGGCATCGCATTTCAGACGTGCGACATGAGCTAACAAGCAATAGGGATCGTCCAGAAGGCATAAGCGTCCTATAGCATCCACCAGTCAAGTCAATCAATGTTATATAAATCTGTGCAATAGTCAGGCTCGTTCGATATAGAGTACCTCAGGCTGGGAAAAGGCCGAAATCGATTTCGTTCTGTCTCCTGAATACCAGTGTCTTTTCTGTCGCATCTTTCTGTTCGGTCTTAGCCAACGCGGGGACATTGATCATCTGGAAACCCCGCCAACGTCTAGCATCGCCGGTCGGCACCACCATCCGCCCACTAACGATACACAAAGCCCTTCGTGGAGTCCACTTTCGCATCTGCGTAGAGACGCATGTAAGCGTCGACGCCGTCTACACAATCAACTTCTGCGCTCTCTTGGCCCGCTGTATTTTCAGCCTTGAGGGAGCAGTGATGGTCTTTTTCGCGGTCCTCCACTTCTTCTTCACATCTGCATAGCGATCCTTGCCTTCCCAGTCTCCCACAACACTGTCTCTCGTACCAATCCGCGCATCGAAATGCTCCAAGCCGGGTGCTAGCTCAAGCACCTCTTGGTATTGCTCCGGATTCCAATACGGCTTTCCGGATGGCAAGGGGTCCATGGGAAAGTAATCGTAACCACCCATGTCAGATATGGTCAGTATGCTCAAACTTCCATGAAGACTCTGCAACATGAAGCGTAGATATCTCATTAGAGTCTCGTTGTCTTCGTACGCGAAGTCAAGGGTGTGGAGAGATTTGATCGAAGCCATGAATCTTGTCATGATAGACATAGTGTCAACGCCGGCGTTAAGCCAGTCTCCACCCCGATATGGGCGATATTGTCTCCTGCAGCTGAAGCCCGTCGTACTGATGTGAAATCTGAGGTATTTGAGATTGATTGCGCGGTTGGTGAGGGAGGCGATGAATTGAGGCGACGTGCCGTTCGGGAGATCTAAGCGTTCCAGGTGTTCCCAGGTGGTTGCGCGCGCCCACAAGTTGCAGTTTTGCTCTGTCAACGCAAAATCGCCCTGCCTCAAGGCCAACTCCCAGAGCGCAGGAAACCGATCGCCGGGCTGGAAGTCGAAATGGAACATGCCGTATTTGACGTATTCCCACTTTTCGATTTGCGCACGCCGGACAGAGCCATCAACGTCGATAGTAGTGAGACGCAAAACTTGGAGACTAGCTGGTACAGTGTTTTTGATATATGCAAGTTCACTCAGGGAGTGTCCAGTCTGCTCAGGTACGGTCGCGTAAATTTCCGCATCAAGAGTGTAAAGTTGGGGAGACGAAAGCAGACCGTGGTCCAGAGGATGGAATCTGCGATTCTTCAGAATCCAGTGCAAATGCGCTGAGGGATGCAATTCGTAGAACAAGTTGAGCAGAGCTGGTGGAAGCTCGCAGTTCACACGCCAGGTAAGGTCTTGTAAGTTACTGACGCTCCCCAGGACAGTCTCCAGCAAGGGCAAAATCTCGAGCTTGAACTTGTCTTCATCCTTGAACGGACCTATTTTGAGATGCCTGACATATTCTCCGGTTTTCCCATTTCTGTCCCTGAGTCTCTCTAGCATCGGCGATGACAGACTCGGCCCAAGGAGGGTGCGATCATGGATAGTAAAGTTGCGGAAGAACAAGTATTGAGACTCATTGCGACATGCTTTAGAGACGAGACGAAAGTTGAAGAATGCTTCCCGATCAGTGTCGTAAACCTGACAAGTGGGATCAGAAGAGGGCAACGATGTGGAGCATTTGTTCAGGTACCCACGTCTTCTAGTACAATAAGAAGTATCGCTAGCGGCATGCGGAGTAGATGGCAGATAGGCTTTGCAGCTATCTTGCCCGCTGGTCGCTTCGTGCGGCGAAGAGGGGACATTTTGGTGGAGAGAGAGTAAGGAGGGAAGATAGGATGCCGCCTGCCTTTCTTCCATGTTGGTCATGGATATATGAAGCTATCAAAATAACAGGGCGCAGCAGCGTATTCATCCGTTCCTATCCTCAGATTAGGCAGTACTGATTCTTTCTGAGCACGTAAAGGTCAGGCTGCATCTTGAGAGGCTGAGCGAGCTACATGCCGCGTTTGCCTCCCATCCGCAGCTCATCTGCATGTGCTTGCGTTCTCAACTTGCAGAGGGACATGGGTCGCATATCTGAGGGAAATACAGCAAGTCTTGCTTGTATCCTGCTAAAGACTTCAGATAACCTCCTTGCTTGGATGTCGTTGTAGTGATGCCGCAGGGCAGGAAGGTTCGGGTGCAGCCCCAGGGCCGCTTCCAACATCACACGAGTGATGATTGGGCGGCCACCGACACCCCAGCCGACCATCCATTCTGCTGCGCTTCCTGCCACTTCAACCCTTCTCTATCACTGCCACTCAACAAACAGGGTCAGTGTTTCCGCCTATCTGCTTCCAGCTGTATTACTACAACTATTTCACTATACGGCAGTGATATATGTGACAGGAGTAGCGCGTATCTGACAATGAAAGTGGCGTGAGTGACCGAACGAGGCTGTCCCCAGGCAGCCAAATATCGAGAAACTCCCCTGCAAGTACTCAAAGTGACTGGCCGTTCAAAGAACGGGTCTCTACTCTGATAATCTGCCCAATTATAAAATAAGCGGTCTCGAAGGAACCACATTTCTACACTACCACTGTAGCCGTTGTCCAGTCTCCACCATCGGCTCTATACGACCTGAAAACCCGGCCACTGTTCTTCTAATCATACGTCTAATCGTCAGATCTAGTAGCCATGCCAAATTGTCTCGGCGCCTGGAAGGCGTCGCAACGTCAGCACAAGCTGGCTCAAATCATGGCGAATCCTCGACACTCTGCCCCTTATTATCGAGGCCCTTCGCCAGCAGTCACTTACCAGAAGAATGGACTGGTGCAGATGGATCCCACCCCAGAGCATTTGCTCTCCAAGTAAGTACTATCTCCAAGGTCACGTCAGACGCTAATGTACTAGGACCCAACACAACGCGTCGACGAATCTCCTCTTGTTGCCTGCGGAGATTCGTAACATGATCTTTAAGGAAGTTCTAGGCGGCTTCCAGATATCAATGAACGTCCCCGGACTCGATATTTGGCAAAATAGTGGTGATGACTACAAGCCTGGAGAACTCCAAAAGCTCGCGTTTGTGCTGCCATACGTATGCCGCCAGATCTATACAGAGACCGCTCTATTACCTTACGCACTCAATACGTTCGTCGTGAGCTGCCGTTCCCACCGCGATGCCTTTGCAGGAAACCGCAACCAAGCCCAGCTAGAAGCCATACAAACCATCCAAGTTAATAACCCCTTCCTTTTTGATTCGGTCAACGGGACGGGGTTTGGGGGCTGCTCACGGTACGCACGAGGATGTAGTTGCCCGTTCGACTGGAAATCCTACCGTTCTCATTCCCCACCACCGTTAGCTATGCCGTTCACACTCCTATTCCCGAACTTGCGGCGAATTTGGATTGAAGTTGACGTCACTGAGACTGGTTCCGACGTCAATTTCGTCAAGTTGTTGGCGCAACACGCTGGCTTCGATGATTGGAAGGATTATGTGACGATGCGGGAGCGTGGTGTCCTTGAGGTCGTCGAGGTTGTTGACCCTATCGAGATCGATGACCAATAGCTAGCTCCTGATTCGGGTTCAGCAGAACGCGTCTAGCAAGATGCTTCTAACCGTACTAGCCTGATGTTGGACTTGTCAACATCGGTTGGAGGTTTGTGAAAGCATTCGAATCCAGAAAGCTTTGGTATGGTGGGAGAGCCCGCACTAGAGTTAAAGATGACATCGATCTCGTCTTAGCAGATTATCTAGTGCGCATTTGTAATCGAACTATTCATTCAAAGTGCCACATGATGATGATCGTCAAGCTCGTATGGTCAACTAAAATGATACTTTCACTAACATTGTCTCATACCAATTTCGAGAATGCACGAAGAGAGAATCGCTACGAGAAGTTCTTACTCTGATAGTAATCTGATAGCACAGTGAATGAGACTTTCCATTTCCAGATGCGTATGGCTCTTGACTGTCTGCGCTAGTCGTGGTGTGACCAGTCGCGTACTCATCGCAACAAACCCTTCGCACCTTCTCGGACTCCCAACTACCGCCATCATGGCTCCGAGGTTGAGCACCCGTCCCGATGATGCCCTACCGAATCCAGGGAATACTCCCGAATATCTGCGTCCTCGGTAGGGAACAGAGCGACCAGTGTAGCGAGACTTAACTGACCAAACAAAGTACACAATCTAACGCGCGTACGCGTATTCTCACCCTTCCGGCAGAGATTCGCGAGAAAATCTACAAGTTTACCCTCGTTAACAACAAGGAAGTCACCGTCTACACGGGAAGCGCCAAGTTCGACCGCGGACTAGCCCCCTACGCCCTCGCCTTACTAAGGACTTGTCGACAAATCTACATTGAATCGCGTCTGGTATTCTACTCCGGAAACGATTTCAAATTTCCCTACGTAACCCTCGTGCACTACTACTGGGCCGTGAACCGCATGCTCTCGCGCGAACAGTTGGAAACTATCCAGAGCGTTGTCTTCGACCAGGCACGGCTTTACTGCTGGAGCGGAACACAGTGCGATTTTCCCTGGATGGTGGGTATGAAGACCTTTCCGAAATTAAAGAAGGCTGTGTTGCGGGGTCTGTGTCCAAAGCAAATATTAGAGCGTGATGCTGTGGTGGGGGGGAGCGCCACTTGGGTGGAACAACTCAAGATCCAGAAGGGTATCAAGCTTGAGGTCATCATCGAAGATCATTCGTCGCCTGGGTAGTTGGCGAATCGATCAGGTTATTGATATTCAAGATGAGGGATGCGATGAGTTTTTCGATGATGGAGATGGGTCGGTGGGATCGATAGCATGTAGTCAGCGGGTAGGATTCCGGCGATGTTTTACATTGCTGGTCTAGCCCAGGCAACGCACCTGCTCTCAGCATTTCGTAACTCACAGAAGCTATAGCACAGGCTAACATTCAATAAGCACAATTAATCATCTTACGACAAGTCGCGGTGTATAAGAACAAATGCTAGATTGAGGGGTATGTAACACCAAGACTCGCATGCTCCGACAGCAGCAGCAAAGATCAACACCATACAGTACCGTGCGCAAACCAGATACATGCCCCAAACATACAGGAAGAAGATTGACACACACACACACAAGGGAAAAGCGACTGCCAGATACAAATGCCCGCAAGACATAAGAAGACCATAAGGGGTGGAATTGTCGAATCGGGTCGAAGGGAGCCCAGAGCTCCAGGTAATGCATGCTTTCGCTGCTATGCTATGCTGAACTGAACAATCGGTCGTCGTTTTGGAAGATGTAAAAGGTGGTAGTTTTGGTGGTTGGGTATACGGGAAAAGGGGGTTCGTCGTGAGGAAGGTCGTGACAAGAAGGAGGGTATCGATGGAAAGGAAGTTGGCGAGTCGAGCGGCCAAGGCTATGGCCACCAGTTCATCCTCTTGTAGCTCTCAATGACCTCTTCGACCTTTTCTTTGGTGATCTTCTCTACGTTGTACCTGGTGGTTTGTTAGTATATCGCCGGCTTGATATTTTATGTGAACAGTGGTGTGACTTACTTGAAGCCCGTCTCCTTCTCGAACAGACTCCCGTCCATGCTCAGATCTGCATCTTTCAGCAGCTCCTTCTCCATGTAAGGTGTCAGCGGTGTCGATTGGCTGATGCCGGCTTTTTGTTGCAGTTCTGCCCAGGGGTCTAAAGTCTCGTCGTTGACTTCGTCGACGACATGGTCGAGGTTCAATCGTGCAAAGGCTGAGATGAGTGTGCCGTGGAAGCCGGTTTCGATGTTGAAGATCTTACCCATGAGCTGGGCAGTGTCTTTTTGGGCTAAACGTCATGTCAGTACTGCAGTAGATAGGATGACGTGGTGTGGAGAGGCCTTACAGTGGTTCGCATGATCCACGATGTTGAAGGTGGGTGCCGGTCTGCGTCCTGGGGGCCCCTTCATGTACCACTCGACACCATGCCACAGCGCTCTTGTAGAGTCCTCAATGTGCACCAGGTTCGTCTTCAGGTCTTCTTTCCACAGGAAGCGCATCTCCTTTCCTTTGCTCTGGTATACCCTCGCCATGCAAAGCGCCGTGCTCAGGTATTTGCTCGTGTACGGCCCGTAGACGTGTGCCATCCTCATCACTATCAGGTTCAAGCCTTCGATCTTGGCCAGGTCCTCCTCAGCCTTGAGTTTCCATTTCGCGAGATTCGACCAGGGTTTCGGCTTGTCTGACTCTTTGCTGGGTGCGCTGTCGGGCTTGTAGACCATGCCGGTGCTGACTTCGAGGAAGCATTTGACCTTGCGTTTCGCGGCTTCGCGACCAATGGCCATGGACAGGCCGTAGGAGCGGAGCTCGTAGACCTTCTCGTCTTGGGCGAAGCGGGTCTCGCCGCCGCAGTTGAAGACATAGTCGAATTCGGCGCCGCCTTCACGGTCGAATATTCGCGGGAGGGATTCTGTAGGTTTGAATTAGCCTCGAACGTCTTGTTGTAGACATCCCTTAGACCCAGAGACACGGTCAGGGGTACGCACTCTCCTGCGCCGCATCCGCCTGTATGAATCGCTCTCTTGAGCACGCCTCCTTGAATTCAGGTGCAAGCCATGCCAGCTCCGGGAGATGTTTGTCGACGATGCGAATCTGCGAGGCGAGGTTGTTGTCGTGGATGTACTTGGTGAGGTGTCGCCCGGTGTAGCCTAATGCACATGGTCAGCCCTCGTGGCATACTTGGGTTGTGCCCAGCGCGAGCCTTACCCAGCCCTCCTATTATCAGCACCGAAGGCTTTTCTGAAGCCATTTCTGGGGTCGCGTATGTTCGTGATCTGCGTCTCCTGTGCGCGCAAGAAGAGATCGCTAGGGGACTCTGAAGGGCGCAGTGGGCGGATGGTGTCTGCTAAGGCCAAAGTCGGGGGTGGAGATTTGAGCGGTGCGGATCGCGCTCAGACCGTCTTTGCGAGGAACCAACTGGCGAGGGACAATATCACGGCTGCTATAGGCGAAGCGTCTTGCTGCGATCGTCTGTCTTGCTCACGTTGGAAGAAAGATAACACGCGGCGTTCGTGATCGCGGGCGTCAAGCTGGAACGAGAGGGACTAACCACGAAGAGAGATACTCCAAGTAGGATACCGCGGCACCACAACGATGTCATATAACTCAGGCCCAATATGCGCGACTCATTGACCTGCAGGAGGGGGGCAGTCAGGCCGATATTTAAATGTGCACACCCAAGCCCGGCGATAATTCTCTTCTCAAGAGGCCACGCCCATCACTGAGGCTCAAAAACCAACTATGGCCGCCAGTAGCAGTCATGGTCGGGCACTTGTGGCTGATCCAATGCACACCATAGTGGTCCGCTCCGCAAGCAAGTCGACCGAGATTATGTGGGCTTCGTATGTAGCGAGCCCGCGACAATTGTATTGAAGGCGCCCGCCGCCACCCGCCACATTATGCAACTTGGGCACGAGCACACAATGCGATCCGCTCCACCGTATCCCCTCATATTCACAGCATGACGTTTGCTGTTCCTATCTCCTGGATACATAGCGGTTGTCGCGGGAGATGTACAAGAAGCGGGCGGTGAACGACGGCGCGCTCCCGCAGTGCTGGACCTTGTCTCGAGCTTCAATACTTTGGGCGCATGACAGCCCGACAGTGGGGGTGAACTCCCCCTGAGTTCACACCAACAGAGCTATCAGGCAATCCCTGGCTGACGTAGCCATCCATCCATGGGCGTTCTCCGACGTTGTGTACAATGTGTAAGCCACAGTCGCCATCCTTCAACGAGCGATTACCGAATAAAAAGCAAACAAGTGCGGAGCCGCGAGGTCTGTCGCTAAATCGCCTTCCCCTTTACAGACACGATGCTGGGGTTGTCCTTTTAGCTTAACGTCTAGCCTGCATAAAACCCTCGCTTCGTAACAAGTTCAGATAACTTCTACTAGGCTAGGCACCGTGACAAGAAATTCGGCTCGTAGCATTGCCGATATGTATTCAATATTATGGTCATTGAGTCAAGTAAGACCTCGTAGCGGCTGATTTAGACAGCACGAATGCCGTCAGATGTTGCTGTGATTCCGCGGAATGGGGACTACTCATCAGCCCAACGCCCTCGTCGGCGACTTAACATTTATTGTCAAGCCAAGAGACGGCGCCTCCAACATACACAGTTCGTACCGGCGTTGTGTCATGCAGCTCCGGGCTCCGAGGCCTGTCGGCGCCGGGTAGCGTAGCACACGGCGTGCGAATCTAGAGATCTCTTCGATCTGTACCTCCTATCAATAAATGTAACGCAGGTACCCAAGCCGCATCATTGGCTGCGACGCACTTTCTTACACCGCTCTATGCCACCCATCGTGATTGTGCGACCCGGCCGAGATGCAGTTTGCCTCCAGAGCAGGCAGTGTGACGGTGCATTCAAGACAGGCATGCATGCACAACCTCGGAGTCGAACAGCAGTTCATGCATAGAACGTCACTAAGGATGGTGATCGTCCCGCACTTGCATATGCATCAGTAATCCTTTTCAGCTGAGTCTCTATTTGATATATTGCTGTAGATGACTGGCTAGATCGCAGAGCTACTATGAATATCTTAAAGCTATGCAGTGGACTCCCTGAAGTAAAATGAGATCGCAACGTCATATCGCATGCTCGCCGAACCGTACCACCCATGCCCTTGAATACGGAAATAGTACTAAATGCCATCGTGCTTTTCTTTGCCGCATATCGCCCAGTCAGTCTCACCCTATGATGCTGTGTGCACCCGATGCAAATCTAAGAAGATGTCCGAAGACAAGCAAACCCCGCCTTGCATGCATGCTCTGCTTTAAAACTCCCAGGTCTCGTCGACTGACTTGATGGCCCAGTCGAACTTCTCGCGGAGTGTCTTGGAAAAGAACTTCTCGATGGGTACGTCGAACTTCTTGGAGAAGACCACAGTGAGACGAGGGTCGATGTAGTTCTAGTTGCGGTTAGTCAGAGATCATGCAAAATGGACGGGGAGCGACTTACGATTTTGGACGTGCCAAGGGCAACCTCCTTGTTGCCCTCCTTGTCCTCCATCTGTATCTTCATGTTCTCAATGCGCTGGTTAAGCTTGTCGATGTTACCCTCAAGCTTGTCGACTGTTGGACCCTTGCCCTCAGCTTCGACCTTGCCAGTCTTGTTCTCCTTCTTGTACTTGGCGGCCAGCTCATTGACCTTCTCCATACGCTCCTCGAGCTCCTTAGGCTTCATCTCCTTCTCGCCGTCCGCCTTGAGCTTCTCGTTCTCCTTCTCGAACTTCTTGGTGATCTTTTGTCGCATCTCTTCAATCTCTGCCTCCTGGTGCTGTTTGACCCACTCCATGTCGAGATCTTCGGGTCGCTCAAAGTACTCAGCACCCTTCTTCTTCTTGATCTTCGGGTCCACGTCGATCATCATCATCTTGGTCCTCCAAACCTGATAACGAAGACCATTAATCTGACAGAAATTAGCATAGTGAAACAGCGGAATGTGCGACGACAACATACCCTCTCGTTCATCTTCTCGATGGAGGTTGCGTGACTCGCAGCGACAGTACGCTTGTGGTTACACAAGATGGCAACTTCACGATTGGCATCGTTGTAAGCCTTCACCTTCTCCTGGACTGTGCCAGTAGCCTTCATCTCCTTGAGCAGCCGGGCCATTGTGTACGAGGCGTTGTAGGTACGGAACACCTTTGCGGTGAGACCAGGCATGTAGCTTGTCAGATGCTTGTTGAGACCCGACGTAGTCAGTCGATCGAAGATGTCATCGCCTGTGGTCTTGGGCTCCTTCTTGAACAGCTTCAGGTTCTTGAAGACTTGCGGATCGACCTTGACTTCGTCGTAGAACCGAATACTGTCTTTACCCAAGAAGTCAAAGATGACAGTCTCCGGCGGCTTCAGAGTGATATGCTGAAACTTAAGCGAGCAGCAACCGACGGTATCAGCCTCATCCTCTCCCTTCTCGTTACCAGCACGGAGGGCGAACTGATCAATGAGGTAGATGGCGGTAGCACGTTGACGATCAGCCATCATCTTGGAATTGAGATCTTTGCGGTAGTCTTTGCGGATGCGGTCGATGTGCTTCTTGAGTTCTCGCGCCTTCTCGAACTTCTTGAAATCGCTCTGGCCCTTGATGTCGGAGTTGGCAGCGAGCATGACGTACTTGTAAGCACTGTTGATGTTTTCTTGCCACATAGCCAGCCATGTGCCTTCGTGATCGTGCTTGACCGCCTTCCATTTGTGACCCGCGGGTGGCTCAGGGACTTTGGCATTCTCGCCGATGTTGATGGTGATCTGCTCGGGCATAACGCGCTCCTTTACACGACCGGTCTTGGGATGCTCACCGCGACCACGGAAAAGACCGGGGGGTTCAACGCGGAAGTTGCCGACCTTTTGCTTGCGACCGTCCCACAGGCAGTACATGTACTGAGCCTCAGCAGCCTCCTTCTCAGCCTTGAGCGCTTTCTTCTCGGCTTGTGAGAGAGCCTTCTTCTTGGCGCGCTCCGCGTCGAACCATTCGAAGATGGGCTTGAAGTCGCACTTCTCAAACTTCTTGATCTTGACTGTGTTCCCATCTTTGTCCTTGCCGTGTCCGGTCTTATCCAGAACCTTAGTAAAGTCCTCGAAGAAGTTCTTGTTGAAGGTAGGGTTCTCGACGTTGTGGGTGGAGTTCAGCATGCTTCCGTAGAAAGTAGCTACCTCCTCGGCGTCCTTGTGCAGGGTGACAGGTACACCATCGTAGACCAGTTTGACGTGCTTGGGAAGTGGCTCGTACTCGGGAGGAAACACAACACCGGCGTGCTCCAGCGTGTCCCACTTCTTGGTGCCATCACTCTTGCCTGGGTCCTCCCACCAGCGGTACTCTTCCTCCTCGTTCTCAGCCTCCTCATCCTGCTCAGTCTCCTCTTTCTTGACTTTGCCCTTGCCCTTCTTGACAGGCGCGGCGGCGGCAGGCTTCGCTTTGGTGGCCTTCTTCGGGGCGGCCTTTTTGGCGAGCGGCGCGTCAGAATCGGACTCTTCCTTCTTGACTCCGTTTGTCTTCTTGGCCGGCGCCTTCTTCTTCGCAAGAGGAATGTCGTCGTCGCTGTCGCTTTCTACCTTTTGCTTGCGCTTCGGGGCAGCCTTCTCCTTGCTGCGCATGGCCTTGGCCTCCTTTGCAGCGGCCTTCTCGATAGACTCCTTCTTCTTAGTGAGCTTCGTTGCGAGAGGCACGTCGGAGTCGGCAGACTCTCCGATTTGTTCGGCGCTTGCTTTGGGGAGCACCCTGGCCTTGAGAGGCACATCGCTGAGTTCTGAATCGGAGTCGTCCTGGGTGGGTTTTGCTTGCTGTGAGGTTCGCCGCCGCTTGCTCTGCTGGAAAGTTAGTCCAGCTTAACGCGCGTGAATTTCATCAAGGGCGACCTACCAAAGGCTTGTCGTCATCCTCGGAGCTACTGGCGTCCTTGTACGATTTGCTGTTTGTGACGCTGCTGCGCGACTTGCGCTTTCCGTTGGCGCCGTTGGTCTCGGGCGCATCGATATCCATCTTGTCGTCGTCGGCGACTGGACCCATGCGGATTGAGATGCCGGGCTCGACGTGACCGTTGGAAGGGACTTGGGCGTCCATTTTTCTGTCTTCTTCTTTGGTGATCTGTTCGTTGGACTTTGCTGTTGGAAAAGTTTCGTTAGCCATTTTGCGTCTTTAGTGGAGGCGCACTGGTTGCGCTAAGTTGGGTAAGGTAGCGAGGGAGGAGGTTGGTAATAGTTGGGAGGTGAAAGGGTGGAATTTGACAAGGGCGATCGGGGCGCGTGAGA